CTCTCTCTCTCTCTCTCTCTCTCACACACACACACACACTCACACACGCATACACACACACACTCACTCACACACACACACGCACACATCAACACACACACACACGCACACAAATACGCTGGCTGGGTGCAAGAACCCTACAAGTGCCAATTTGCAAACACACTCACCATCAATAAGCGACACAATGAAGCTCAAGGTTGAGTTCGATCCATGCCGTGTTCTGAAGGTCAAAGCCATGACGTTGTCCACACTGGTGAAGTCTTTATGTAACCCAGCGCCGCAGTGACTGGTGACAAGACATGGGTTACGAGTTAACCTCTTCTTCATTATTTTGTTTTGTTTTTGGTAGGTGTTTTACGGCGCTTGCAAATTCATTGGGTCATATGAGCGCGCAGGACACACAAATCATTTTTCAGTTGGTAAGAAATTTTGAAATTTTTAAAATGTGTCCCAAATTAAATACCATGTGGTTGAATGAGGCATCTGATGCGGTGTGTACATTTTATCAGCTTTACTTTTCTTTTCATATTGAATTTTAATGAGAGTAATATAATAATATTATTATTTAAATATTTTTATGCATACTTGTATGTATTTTTTTCCGTCCTGTACAGCCAAGACAAATTTTCCTCTAGGACAATAAAGTATTATCTTCTCTTCTATCCTCTTTTCCTACACTAGCTGGGCACTCTTTCGATGAAAGGAATTATAGGTACATTAACATAAACTGAAAGTCTTTCTACTGCTACTCCTTGGCCCCTTCTTACTGCTGTCTTTCAGCCTCACCTCCGATCTTCTGGTAGGAAAGATTTACACTTAGCCTCCTCGGACAAAGGCAAATACTCTCGGAAGGACTGTAACGCAGATTGGTTTCGTTTCTCAGTGGAATAATCGCAAAAAGCCAAAGAAGGACGGGAACATTTTGTCAAATACATTAGTCTAAATTCAGGAAAGGAATAAATCAGAAATTGAGCTCCGTCATCGATACTTATCTTTTCGAAGGTACTTACCAACTTTCAACTCTGAAGCTGTTGTAGTTTTATGAAAAAAGGAACGCATGTTTTTTTTTCCAATTTATCAAATTAATATATCATAATATATTACAATTATAACGACACTGTCTAAGACTGGTTTGAATGTCTTGTTTTGATTACCTTCGACTATTTCAACGTGCTAGGCTCATCCCTTCGAAAGCACAACTTTTCTATTAATAGATTTCTATAGATGGCTTCTACCATTAATATGGCCAAAAAAATCTCCCGGACGTCGGCGCTGAAAACATATTTACCACCTATTATTGGCAAATTTATTGAGGCTGCTATAACTGCACCTGGACATAAATGGCTGGAAAGTGGAAAAATCTTTGATTGTCAAATTTATTGACAAATTTTAATTAGCCAGGGAGCGGATTCACAACCCACCCACGATAGAAAAGGGACGATAAAAACTTTCCACAGAAAAAGTTCTTATAAAACAGGCAAGAGCAGCTTTCATCATTCTCAGGAATATATGAATGTCTAAGGAACTGGGATTGAACACCAAGCTGAGGATCTTCAAAACAAACGTGAAGACTGTTCTACTGTATGGTTCAGACACATTGAGGCTCACAGCATCAGCAGCAAGGAAACTGCAGAGCTTCATAAAGGATCCCTACGAAGGATAGTGGAGATCAAGTGGTACGATCGAGTCACAAATGCTCAACTGTGGGAAAGAACAAGCTAAAGGCCAGAAAAGGAAGACATACAGGTGAAGAAATGGAAATAGATTGGACACACCCTGAGGAGACCCCCGACAAGCATCATCAGGCAGGCTTTAACGTGGAACCCACAAGGAAAACGTAAGAAGAGAAGACCAAAAATGATATTGAGGCGAGCGGTACAAGCGGAAATTGAAAAAGCAGGGACATCATGGAAACAGATAGAAAAAGATGCCCAGGACGGGCTTCGCTGGAGTAATGCTGTTCATGCCTTGAGCCTTGTGCTCCACTGGGAGTTAAAAGGGAGAGAGAGAGAGAGAGAGAGAGAGAGAGAGAGAGAGAGTACTTATAAATTCAGATAAAGTCTACTTGATTAATTGTAAAACTATTAGGAAAACTAATATTGATAAATAAAACCATAATAATTTTTACAGCAAACAATAGTAAAATCATTTCTATTAAAAGTTACTCCTATTTTTGACATATATATTTTCAAATTTTAATCAGCGGATTCACGATCCGCCTACTAGGGAAAGGATCGATAAATATTACTACAGAAAAAGACCTACGAATCCAAGTAAAGTCCACTTGAGTAAATGTACAACAAAAAAGAAAATTAATACTGCTAAATAAAACCATAATATTTGTTACAGCAAACAACAATAAAATCATTTTCTTTTAAAAATTAAGGCTTAATAGACTAAATTCCTCCTTGGTAATCAAAGTTACTACGGTGAAAAAGTCATTGGTTAATAATACTCAGATACAAGCAAAATTAAATAGCAATTTTTGCAATAGCAGTATATTTCAATGATTGTGTCCCTTTGCATTATTTCCAATTCTCGTACTTGTATTTAATTTTCCTTTCCCTTGCTGGCGTTTCGGGGTTTCCCGTATGAGGTATATAACCCATAGACTTGTAATATCATACTAGATCTGGCTCCGTCATGGCCGCCGTTCTTTGCAATCCTCCTTGTGCTGATGTACATCAGGGGCGCCACAATGAAGTGTATTTTAAGTAAGATTTGTACGGCACATGAAACACAATTAGGTCACATACGTCCCGAAGAAGGAAGGGAGATCAGGTGATCGAACGCATTGAATTCTTTATAATTGTTAACTCAATAACCACTCGGTCATCGAATCTTGGTTTTAGTAAAAGTTTTACGGCACTTGCAACACAATTAGGTCATATAAGGGCCTAAGATCAGATGTGTTACAATAGAATACCATAAAGCCCCTTCCCCAACACACACAAACACACACACACACACACACACACACACACACACACA